TGTCTAAATTGGTATTGAAAAGTCTGATATAGACTATGATGATGATCCATGTGTCTGTTTTGCTGGTCTAATATGCAGTTGGTTCAGTAAAATTCTAGGTTTGATTTGATTGCTAGTCCAGGAAGCATATAAGTTTTTGTAGTCATAATATTGCTTAGTGAAGATTCTTACTAATTTTTTTTTTGCTTTCGAAAGTTCTCTGTAACTTTATTGCTTCTGTAAAGTACATTTAGTTATGTCCATGAATTGCAATTCTAAAATTGATGCATCTTCACTTTCAGTTTGGTTCCTCTTCTTCTTTGGTCAGTGGATTTGATTATTATGCTATATTCTAAATGCCAATTTTTGCTGTTCTTTTTGACCTATTTTTATAGGCAAATGCTCCATCCCAGAATAGCTTTGCAATCTTCATTCCATTCTCCAAGCATCCATACCAGTAAGCAGCTAAGTCTATCTCTGGTTTGTTTATAGTCTGTATTACATATCAGACTTTGATGTTGATCTGTGATCATATGGCAGAGAATCTGAGTGTAAGAATGAGGATGTTGCTGAATCTATTAGAGAAGAGAAAAAAAGAAAACAGATGGAAGCAATTGCCGAGGACCTGTTTAAAAGTGAAAAGGTCAGTAATATGACTTGTATTATTGCCGCAGCTAAAATCACAGGAAATACATCTCTCAAGCCAGTGCTTCTATTTCTCTATCACAGGGAAAAAAAAGTGGTGTTGCTGGTTCCTTGCATGGGTTGTTTGCTCGTAGATAATATGGTAAGTTTCTTTTCAGAGTTGAAGAACTATACCTTCTTTTCGTTAGTCTGCTAAGCACATGCAGCTTTTAGTCTGCAAAGCACATACAGCTTTGTACTTTGTGGAGGGAGTGAAAGGCTAGATGCTTTGAAGATAGAGGAAATTCCATTCAGAAGATCTGAATGGGTTGTTTACTTTTGTTATATTTTTGGTGCAAATAGAACTTTGTTAGTGACATTGAAACTGTTATAGATCTTATTGTATCCCTTAAGTACGGAAAAAATCTTTCTGTCTCTTGGGAAGGTTGTGCCTTCTTGGTGGTTTTATTTAATTATGATACAGCAAGCATTTCTTGAAAAGGCTCTGTTCGGCGTTCGTATGCATCAATTTCCTCATGCAGCGTAGCATCTTTGATGTAGGTCAGACGCAACATAGCAACGACATACCCCGTGTAGTCCCACAAGTGGGGTCTTAGGAAGGTAGGATGTACAAAAACCTTACTCCCACTCTTGTGGGGTAAAGAGTCTGTTTTTGATAAGATTAATATACCCTTGACTCAAAAGAGCAGATACTTGAAGCAGGGTTATTGGCAAAATATGACATCAAAGATCAACATACCAAGCTAATAAAATAACAGGTAGTAAAACACATTGAGAGATAAGAAACTACATGATTACTAAATACTACTGCCTCTGTCCCAATTTATATGACTTACTTTCCTTTTTAGTAAGTCCCAAAAAGAATGACATTTCTATATTAAGTAACAATTTAACTATAAAATGCCTATTTTACCCTTAATGTAATGATTTACAGCCATACAAATTTCTGTCATTCATTTTGGACCACAAGTTTTAAAAGTCTTCCTTTTTTTTAAAAAAAAATTCCGTGCCGAGTCAAACTACATCACATAAAATGGGACAGGGGCATAATAAGGTTGCGACGAGGAGATAGGGCTAACCCCCTGTCTCTCCTACTGAAAGGACGACAACCCTTGGCACACCTGCTAACCTTCTACCTTAATCTTCAATCTCAACATCTTCCTATCTATTCTGTCTAATCACCTCCCCTTGGTTATTCTTTGAACTGCCTCTACCTCTCTTAACTCGTATAACAACCAACTTCGCTCACACCTCCTTACTGGCGCATCCGCTTGCCTTCTCTTTCATGCATGCCCGAACCATTCCAACCTTGCTTCCCTTGTCATTTCTGCCATGGAGGCCACTCTAACCTTGTCCTGTAACTTCATTCCTAATCATATTTCTCCTAGTATGCCAACACATCCACACATTATTATCATTTTCCGAGACCAGAATGCAAACGGAATAACTCTTAAGTACAAGTGTTAACTTCTGTCAGCATCATATATAAGAAGTGTATCGTCAGGATAAACAACATATCCACACATTATTATCATTTTCCGAGACCAGAATGCAAACGGAATAACTCTTAAGTACAAGTGTTAACTTCTGTCAGCATCATATATAAGAAGTGTGTCGTCAGGATAAACAACATGAGTCTAGCAGATTCCTCTGCCATCTTTACCAGAAATGCAAAACCCTCCATTCCAGCTCAATTCTTCAGGTCTCTTAAGCATTATTCTTAGGGGTTCCATGACAATCACGAATAGATAAGGAGAGAGAGCGTCTCCTTGTCTTAGGCTCTTTTAGACTTAAAGAAGCCTTCGGTGCTTCCATTAATGTGAAGATGAAGTCTGACATTAGAGATGCAATTAAGGATCCACTGTATCCACCTATCCCTAAAAGTGCGCAAGTCATGACTTCCAATAGAAAATCAAATGCCTTTTCTAAATTACACTTGAATATTAATCCTGCCTTCCCGATTCTCAAGTAGTAGCAAAGACACTTTGCAATTAACGACACATCTAAAATTTGTCTACTTTAATTAAGGCATTTTGGTTGTCTGTAATGAGTTTGCTTATCTTATGTCTTCAATCTTTCGGCAAGCACCTTTGCAATGAGTTTGTAAATGGTACTAGGATGCTATAGGTCTAAAGTCATTAATCTCCATTTCCTCTTTCTCTTAAAGGGAGCTCTGAAAGTAGCAGTGAAACTCCTCTCAAATGTGCCTTCCTGATAATTTTTTTTCAATGTTTTCATTTATATCGGTCCTGTCAGTGGACCAACCTTTTTTGTAGAACATGTTAAATCCATCAGGTGCCAGGGGCTATATCCCCATCAAATTGCTTGTGTGCGTCCACTACATCTTCCTCTGTAAATGGCCTTTGAATCCACTTGCATTCTTTGACCCCACATTTTTGTCTTTCAGTAAAGAGCATCTCATAAAAGCTCTGAATGTGTTCTTTGATCAGCTTCTTGTCTCCAAACAATTTTCTTTCAACCTCAGTCTTGTTAATATCATTGTACTTCTCTGGGCATTGGCCATCTTGTGATAAAAAATTGTATGCTTAAAATCTTGATTTTTGTGTTCAAGGTATTTCCAAAGCCTCTGCAATTTCTTCCAGCTCATAAGACTACCTTTTTGTCTGCCTCTTTCAGCTTCATCTTCATTCACAGACTGAGCGATCCAGCTCCTCTAATTCGGAGAGGATGTTCTCTGCTTGTGTTTAAGCTTTCCAAATTCTTGCTCGTTCCATTCTCTAATGACTGCCTTGAGCAACTTAAGTTTTTTGGGAGGTAAGCACTTGAGACACAAATTAGAACAAAGAGAATTTTTTGTTGTAGAAAGTCTCAAATTCAGGATCTTCCTCTGCGAATTTCCTGAGAAACAAAGTCATGGGCACGTAGGTTCAGAGCTAGACCCAACTTCCTCTGTGAATTCAGGATCTTCCTCTGCAAATTTCTTCATGGTTGGTTTACTAGGGTAAAACGTGCCCCTTTCCACCTCTAAGTAGTGGTGTTGGTGTGTTTCGTGTTAATCATTCTTGGAAGATTTTCCTATATTAACTTTTGGCTGTATTGTTAAAATAATTCATAAGGTAGTAGAATAGTGGCTACAATTTGGATATGAATCTCATTTGATCACGTACTTAGGAGAAAACAAACTCAAGAACATGTTGTTTTCCATGTGGATTCTGACAAGAGTCAGAGTACTTTTGTATCACATGCATATGGTTTGTGTTTCTACTTTCACCCACATACATTTGATCTCAGTGTTTTAGGGTTAGTGAACTGAACTGAAGAGCTTGATAGAGGATCATTGGTATTGGCTCAACTGCAATTTTACATGCATGATGATTAGCTGCCTACAATGCGAGTTTCCAGAACTAGGATCAGCCTACTTATATAGAATAGAAGGGTTCTTTTTAGCCAATGGTTCTTGAAGTTTATCTGCCTACTGTTGCAATAAATATTATAATTACATAACGTATGCTATATTTCATTATGAGATTGGCGAACCTGTTTTACTTGCTTAGTATTTGCGAGACAAATTAAAAGCCAGGAGAGATGACTTGAATGGACAAAGTGTTGACCTGATGCTCAAGCATTTTTAAGCTGTTATCTGATGGTGGAAACAGATTTAGTCGGTTTTGTTAACAAATACAGCTGCATTTTGGTGTTATACTTGATCCCTGAAATCCTTAACAACAAAAAAGAAAAGAAGAAGTAAAAGGTCAAAGCTTAGTTTATATCCCTCTGTCTTAAGGGGAACAATCTCAGTAAATCGGGAGTTTTAAGTGCATCAGATGAGCAAGCTGCATTATGCAGAGATGGTATTGTGGTAGAGCTGCCTAACTCTTGGTTCCTAAGAGAGAAGGTTTGATGTTGGTTTGAGTTTGATGAACTGCCTTAAGCTTACTTGATGACTGTCCATCTAGGCTCTCCACAAACTCTAAAATTGTTTTGATTGATGCAATATTATATCAGTAGTATGATTTCTTCTTGTAATGCTAACACACCAATTTTGTGTTTCCAGATACCAAAGATACAGAGATGTACTGGATCAACCATCCAAGACATTTTGTTGGTATTCCTAGTTTCTTAGCAAACACTGTAGATAGACCCCTCCTTTTCTTTTCTCCTTGTATGAAGATGGGGAAGTCATCAAGTTCTCTTCAGGATGAATTTTGTTAAGCTATTGTATTGGGTCATTCTTGAAACTAAACTTCAGCGTCCGTGGGAAATCATAGGATTTGCACCCGGCAGTTGATTGTACATGATGGTGTTATTCAAGCTTATAAAAAGTTTTTTCAAAGTCGTTAACTTGTAGCTAGTGTGGTTTGGTTTAACTTGTGTTGCTTTGCAGAACTAGTACGTACCACAATAACAACACCTCATTCCTGAACATTAATATTTGTTATTTTGCAAAAACATTACATAAACTATGAGTCGATCAAAATTTGTCTAATTCAACGGGATTATCTGCGGAATTTTCTAACAAAGCTATTGAATCAGACGAAAATGTCATGGGACTTGCCATAACCTGATGAACAATCGGTTGAGATTGAAGAGGCTGAGGAGGTACTTCTAGCACTTCGCCTTCACCTTCAAGCATTTCTAATACTCTACTCATCGAAGGGTGTTGTAACGGATTTGTTTGTATGCACCATAGCGCAACTAAAGTCAGCTTTCTAGCCATCTTCTTTTCATCATCATTTGCTTCTTCATCCACAACAATCTCCTTCCCTTTGTTGAACTTATCGTAAATATAGTAAGGAAAATATTGGCTGGAATTCTCTTCATTTGCACCTTCATGTCTCTTCAAGTCCAGCATTTCCATTAGCAGCATTCCAAAGCTGTAAACATCAGCTTTGTAAGAGATTACTCCAATGCTTCTGCTGATCAACTCTGGAGCTACATAGCCAATTGTTCCACGAGCAGCTGTGAGATTCACAATGCTTATATCTGTTGGATATAATTTTGCAAGCCCAAAATCAGAAATCTTTGGAATGAAATTCTCATCCAAAAGAATGTTGTGTGGCTTGATGTCAAAATGCAAAATTCGTACATCACAGCCTCGATGCAAATATCCAATTCCTCGAGCCACTCCAACAACAATGTCATACTTCCTCTGCCAACTTAACAGAGGACTTCCTTCTTGACTGGTGCTGATGTACTTGTCAAGTGATCTATTGGGCATGAAGTCGTAAACAAGAGAACGCTTTGTTCCCTCAACACAATACCATTCTGTTCTTCGAGTTGTTCTATTCAAGAATTTTTGTATACTGCTTACTTGTGTTAGATTACTAGTTTTTGGGAACGTGCAATGTTGCACGTTTATCTCCTATTATTTTATAAACTCTGTACATGCCGTACTTTTAGGAGGATGTGATACATTATATTCTGATTTATTCAAAAGTATAAAATTTTAATTTCATTAAAAGATGCTACAAGAAAATAACAAAAATAAAATTCATACATCAAATCATCTTTTCAAGAAGCAACATGTAATAGGCAAGCAAGACATGTTGGTTCACTACCATATTAAAAGCTAAACCATATGATTATAACTCCTAAGCTCTTCTCCGTGTATTTGAGTAAATGGATGAAAAGCAAAATGGAATGTTAATCTGTGTACAGCCAAATAATCCTACAGCTTGCTGAAAGGATATATATAGGAGCTTACCCATGAAATACAGAAGTAGCGACAGACTGGTCACTGAGAGATAATGGAGAGTTGAAAGTATATATGGAGAAAAGTTTTGAGTCCTCACGGAGAATCTGTTGACTAATACCTACAAAGGCCATAAAGAAATTAAATTGTTGTGAGTTAATTCATTGTTTTGTTAGGATGGAAAAGAGAGTTAATTAAGGAGCAGAGCAAATATTGTCCTTACTTTGTTCATTAAATAGGAAACACATGTGTGTTTCTAGAGTGTCACCTGGTTAGATTAAAGTGCAGAAAATATAGAATGAGGATTAGATTAGAAGTATATGTAGTGAAGAAATTAGATTGTAGTGAGTGAATCCATTAATTGTTCACTGAATTTCTTAGGATTGAAAATTAAGAAGCAGAGCATATATAATTGAAGTCCGTCCTTACTTATCCTTTGTCCAAAATCCCCATAATTTTGGAGCATATAAACGATATTCCGAACGTTATTATTGTTGATGGCTTGTACATAGAGCTTCTTGGAGGATAGCCATATAACTGTTTGTTTGGTTACCTTCACAACCTAATTCATATCCTGGAAAATGACAATCATTATTTGGATCAGTGTTTAAGATAAAAGGGTAACTTATGTTACGGATATCGCCACAAACAGAAGTGGGAAAGTAGTAGTGTTTGTTCTTCCTAGCATTGCATGTTTGCAGAAAGATGAGGAGGATTATTTGGTTCCCCTACACAAATACATTTTGTACTTTCTTTTCAAAAGACTTGAGACTTGAAATGCAGGTGGGTGTATTTAAAGTTGTGTGGAATTTTCATTAACAATGGAAGACTAGCTTGTGTTTGGTTGTTGCAATTTGATTGACTATTTCCATCCTGTCTGCTTAACCAAATGATGCCCGAATTTACTCCATATTGATTGGGGTGGCAAAATCAAATCCAACCCAACTCATTTAGGTTTGACCCGCTCATTTGTTAGCTCAACTCATTAGAAATAGCTCAAACCATTAAAAATTAGGTTGATAGGTAACCAGATTGATTTTATATAGTTATAATAAAGATTTTTTTTATTAGGTACTGAAATACACAAATAAAGCTATTAAAACTTGTTAGGTTACTAACTCGTTTTGACCCAACCCATTTTGGCCCAAACTAATTTGGGTTGGGTTGAGTCTTGCCCCATTTTGATTAGCTAATTTTTGTCCAGCCAAATAATGCAACTTGCCAATGGGATCGGACTTACCCATGAAAAACTCAGCAAGCTTCTCAACGCTCCTCCTTTAAATTTAGTCCAAATTCTTTGTCGAATAACTTTTAGATGTATGCATGTCTACTTATACTAAGTTTGCTCCATCATCACTAAGTAATAGTATGTACATTAACTCTATGCATCCATCCTCTTCAAATCCTAAATTCGTCTTTATAAAAACGGGCCTTCTCTATAATATTTTGAGTAAAGCTTTGAAGAAATAACTGACTTTTCTTTTGGATGAGTGTGTTTGAGGAAACGACTATTTCTCAATTTATCATTGAACTAATTCTTCCGATTAACACGGGTTTAATGCAAGGATATAATTAATAAGTCTACATATTTATCATTCAGCTTCCTGATCACTACTATGAAATAAAATACTTTTGCAATTCTTTTAGAAATGATTTTGAAGTGCTATTCAATTTCTAATATCACGTCTAGATCTTCACCGTGAGAACTTGCATTTAACTTAGGCTTATCAGTAGCCATAAAAGGATTTGGGGACAAGTTGAGATGGCTTCCATCTCCTTCCAACATCTGAGTAACTTCTTTGATTGAAGGCCTATCAATTGGATGCCACTGTATGCACCAAAGTCCAACAATAGCTAACTTTCTCACAATTCTACCATCTCCTTCTTCCTCTATCTGAATCTTTAATTCTTCCCCTTTCTCCAAATGTCTATATATCCATTCCAAAGAATTCACTTTGCTATGGTTATTCGTCTTAGCATCCATATTTATCCTCCCACCAACCATTTCTAACAAGAGCATCCCAAAGCTATAAATATCAGACTTATGAGAAACTTTACCAAAGTTTCTTGATAACACTTCTGGTGCAATGTAACCAATGGTTCCCCTAGCAGCTGTCATAGTGACCGCACTTTTTTCTTTAGAACACAGTTTGGCTAGGCCAAAATCACATATTTTGGGGTTCAAGTTGTGGTCTAGAAGGATGTTTTGTGGTTTGATATCGAAATGCAGGATTTGCTGATCACATCCCTGGTGAAGATACTCAATCCCTCTTGCAGTACCCAGAGCAATATGGTGAAGCTTGTGCCAGCTGATGAGTGAAACACTACCCGGGCTTGAGCTTACTGGTAAAATAAACCTTTCAAGTGAATCATTTGGTAGGTATTCGTAGATCAGAGCTCGTCTGAATCCATCAGCACAAAAACCAACCAAACGGACCACATTAACATGGTGGATTCTCCCAATCGTATCAATTTCATTGATAAATTCTTCCCCTTTACCCTTGGAATCGCGTAGGACTTTTACTGCAACATAGATGTCACTGGAAAGTTTGCCTTTGTATACAGTTCCATAACTCCCTTCTCCTAACTTTTCATTAAAATCATCTGTTACCTTCTTAATATCAGCATAAGAATATCGTGTTGGTCTGATGGCCTTGTAGTCATCCAAAAACTTTTCAAGTCTAACTCGACTCTCTCTTTTGTTTCTACTTGTCAGGTATAGCTTATAAAGTGAGAAGACAATAATGCAAACAAGCGCTGCACCTGAAACTACACCTACAATAATTGAATTGAATAAACAACATGTCATAAGCATAAAGGAAAATCAAAGTAGGAAACTGATGGAGTAAGAAGTTAATAAAACTAACCTGCAATCAAGTGCTGCTTAGTGTTGTTACCTATTATGGACAAAAATAAAAAGTGTCTGTTAAGTGTTTTTTAAATAATGATGGAAAAAATTAATTAAGATATGCAAGTAGTACCTGTTCGGGTTATATCTTTTCGATTGAAACAATGAGTTTCCAATAGCTTTGTTCCGTCCTTGAAACCACAATCCATTCCTTTGAACTCACAGTTTCCACAGAGTGGTACATTCCAATTCAGCTGTAGCATGTTCTCACCAAATGTTGAGTCTGAGTATGGGTACTGATGAATTTTTGTGCAAGGCCCAGACAACAAGAGGTCAAGGTCAAAAGTCGAAGTAACAGCATGTACTTGGTAACCAGAAGAAGCAAGACATGGAACCAAGTAACCATCATTACTTTCTGGGAATGGTTCAGAACAATTGAATAGGACTGTGAGATCGTCATCATTTGTGAAATTAGATTGTGACAAATTCAGTTTTGGTAGCTTGGCTGCTATGCACTGGTCAGGATCATAAAGGTGAATTTGCTGTGAGACATAATCAATATTTTCAACACCAAAGTGAACAGAGGAGGGAAGCTCAAGGATGGTGTCACCTTTAGTGTTACAGTGTAGTTCAAAGCCAGGATCATAGCCACAATGTTTTGGTTGATGACTGAGTCTGAATGGGAAATGAACGTTGGGACCATCACTCTTGCACCAAGAATCCTCACAACCCTTTAGTCTATGTCCTAAGCTAAGAAATGGGAAAAATACCAAGAGAAGTAAGATGGACATTTCTCTAAAAATACTCTTTAGTTTGATGCTAAATCACTACTAGTTTAGTGCTACTATATAGATATGATTGGCAACATTTCTAAAACCTCAAAATCTTTTTCTTTGAAAGTATTCAGTTTGAGGAGCGGACTTTTCCACACACCTTCCTGAGTTCCTGTAGTTGGAAAATTATTGACTAGATCAAATTAGTCCAGAATGTAGACATTCATCGACAAGTCATTTTGGGCATATTATTTCATGGAATATGTGGACTAGATCAGTCTACCTTGTTTGCTAGTAGTAATTTGATAAGAAAGCTCAACTTAGCAATGGGAGACTTCCAAGTCAATGGAAGACACGTGTTTAAGTCGGAAAAATTACATAAACTCGGACATTCTAATAAATAATTACTGATTTTAGCAATATTTTTTATATATTACCATTTATAACAATATTATGTTTAATCTACAAAATGAATTAAAAGTGAATTATGTATGTAATATATATGAATTATAATTGTTTTTTTGAAATATATTATATTTGTTTGGTAAAAATTTGACACATTATTATAAATGTATTAAAAGATGTGATAAATTTATAATCCATCGTTAAAACTTGTCCTCTCTTAAACCTTATCTCCGCTAGGGCTAGAATTTGACACATTATTGTTGTAGCGTTGCTTGCCTAGGTGTTGCCCCTAGAGCCAATGCTGTCTCTACCTAGCCAAAACAAACTACATTTTTTAGTATATACATACACCAAATTTGTCAACAACAACAAACAACATACTTACTATAGACCAAATTTGTCACCAACAACAACGAACAACATACTCAGTATAGACCAATTTTGGCAACAACAACGAACAACATACTCAGCATAGACCAAATTTGTCACCAAAAACAATGACAACATACTCAGTATAGATCAAATTTGTCACCAACAACAACTACAACATAATCAGTATAGACCAAATTTGCTAACAACAACAACATATTCAGTATAGACCAAATTTGTCACCAACAACGCACAACATACTCAGTATAGACCAAATTTTTCATTTACTAAAATTGAAACTAATTTTATAGCAATGTACTATCAAAATTGAGCAACTTTTCTACTTCTTCTTGTTCCAGTTTATGTGACAAAATTTTCTTTTTAACGAGACACATTATCTATAAACATCCAAGTGGGAGTGTTACAAATCCACTTTATTGTGTGGATGTTTATCTTAATCCATCCTAACGTAATATATCTATTAATTAAATATGTTCTAACGTATTTGTCAAATATTGTAAATGATGGTTTGAATGTCCTATAAAAGGGAAGTCTTTCACCCTTGTGAAAGAGACTTGAGGAGAATAACAAAGCTCTCAATCTTTATACTTGTCATCACTATTTGTCTTACCTTATTGTTTGTGTATTCTTATATCTTACTCTCGTTTTACAAACAAAATAAAAATTAACAAAACTTATACGTCATATACATGCAAAGTTAATTAGAGCCTCAATACCTAAATGTGAAAATCAGGAACAAATAAATTATTTATGATATCGCTAAGATTTCTACCATTTTCAAGACCAATGGACATATTTAGAATACTTGTGATCTCAAAAAGATTTGAGAAAAAATAGAATGTCTAGTGGTAATTAATTCATGTTATTTTGGATAATGACTTTTCATTCAATGAAATGTATCATTCAACTGTATTGGAACATAATGTCAAGTGATAATGGATAATATCATATTAATTCTAATAATATATACATAACACCTATAAAATTGATATCTAAAATTCAGTCCAAACCCATGTAAATAAAGAGTAGTAACAATTACTCTCTTCGTTTCATTTTATGTGACACTTTTCGTATTTTGAGATTCAAACAAATCCATCTTCGATCGTAAGTTTTTCATTGATCCTTTTAGCATTTTGAATTATCTTTCAATTATTGCGACTTATAGTATTCCTTACGTAGTTTACAAATATATAAATTTTATTTTTAAAAAAATTAAAGATTTCATACGCAAATGTCCGGTCAAAGTTAAGTTGTTTGACTCTCGAAAAATGAAAAATGTCACGTAAAAAGGGACACAACGAGTACTAAAAGTTGAAACATAAAGTTATCAAAAAGAGAAACTTGAAAAGGAAACTTACTACAATGGCAAGATGGTCTTGAATAAAAATGAAAATGATATATAAGAATATATACATAAGAAATATTTTTTTTATAAATTCACATATGTTGACCCTTCGTCGTCTATTACAATTCTTAGTTTTATTCCTTTATTAAAGTAATAAAGATCCAAACTTTGTAAAAATGAAAGAAAAACTCTTAATCTTCTCCCTTTATTGAAGCAATAAAACTCCAAACTTTGTAAAAGTGAAAGATGACCCTTTATATATATATATATATTTTGAAATTCATGTCTATTTATATATATTTTTCATAAATATATAAATAATAACAACAATAATAATGATAATGTTGAATATAACGTTATAATTAATGTGTATTTACATTTTTGTCCACAATATTATTACTTTATAATGATATTTCAACTTTTAACTTGAGTGTTTTTCACTTATAATAATACTAGTCTTCGGGCATGTGCGTTGTACGTGTATCCTAAATAAAAATCAATAAAAAAATTAATGAAAAAGTATATAATAAACTAATAGGAAAACATGATGTTTTTTTGAGTGTTCTCTCGATATTTTCGATCTACTGCACATTAGATAAGTCTCCAAAGCTTACCCATTTATAAGCAATTAAATGCACAAACAGTCATCAACAACTAAAAAATTCATGAAATTGATCAATCAAAAGGTGATTAGATATCAATATTTGTAAAATATTCCAAGAAAGACACATCAAGTTAAAGAATTAAAAAGGGAAAATGCGACGTTACTTAAAGTCTTCTTGTATCCTTAATGTGTGTCGTTACAAATGTAACTACTTCCTTAAAAACTTCAGATATATGCAGACTTACATTTATAGGCTTATAACTACTATCCATCACTGTTAGAAAAGACTTGGAGTTGCTACATTTGTTGAAGAAAATGTGATATATTTTGCTAGCAAACAGCTGCAATTTCAATTTATTATTAATAGTTTAAAAGTTTATAACATGGTTTCTTTTCTGCGGGAAACTATGCTTAGAGAGTATCAAAGAAAGTTGATCATCATTCAGTGTCAAACCATATGTGTACAACACTCAATTTTTTATGTGTGATTATACCTTTCAAGCTATTTATTTTATCTATTAAAAAAATTAGAAAGTTATCATTCAAATGAAGTTAGCAAATCAAACGGAAAAATCTAGACTTAATAAGATTGTACCTGAAAATTAGAAGACACTTTTGTATCCACTTAACAATGGAAGCTTATGTTGAATGACTAATATTGAGTATGTTTATATAGTGTAGTCTTGAAGATTTGTTGATAAAAACTCTTTGATATTCCTCAATTACTTATTTTAATTCCTTTCAACTTCTCATATTTAGCAAAATACGTATCAACTTTTATATTAATTGAAACTTTATTATTGTTCATCCTATTTCGTTGTTTCACACATAGTAATTGAGTAGACTGCTGAACTTCTCATTTTGTTCCTCTATTATGTGATTCAAATATTACTATTTAATTTATACTTGGGTAAAGTATTTTATTACTTTTTAATTTAGTATAGAAACAAAATAGTAATTCAACTTTATACTTTCGAGCTTCATACTTACAATAATATATGATATATGCATGATGTTTGGGAAGGAATATATGTAATAAAAAAATGATCGCTACTAATTACTTTACTAAGAGTAATATATTTGGAGTTTGGAATTATGGTGGTGTGCTACAAATTTACGATCAACGAATGGTAATGTGTGTGTATTCAAATAAGATACAGCTTGCTTTAGGGATATAGAGGAACTTACTGGCGACACGCTGAAGTAGCGGTGTGCTGCTCTCTGCTTTAGATTAAAGGGCAAAAAGTTTAGAATGAGAGATAAATGGAGAATTATTTAAAAGTCTATGTAGAGAAAAGTTTGAGTCCTCACATCGAATCCAATCAAGCACAACTACAAAGACATGAAGAAATGAAATTGTAGTGAGTGAATATATCCATTGTTTTCCTAATTTGTTAGGATGGAAAAGAAATGATTATTAAGAAGCAGAGCCTATATAACTGAAGATTGTCCTTACTCTTCAAAATCACGCGGAGAGCGAATAAAGAAAAGCTCAAATCAGAATGGGAAATGTTATTCTCTGCGTTTTTAATATCAGGCAATGAGGTCATGGCTATAAATTCCATTCTGCATCCATGGCTGACTTCAGAGACTTTCGTTTCTCCAATCTTTAAATAAGTGTACCTGCTTAATTTGCAGCCACTAATTTCCAGAAATGTCGAAGAACTATTAACAGCAGATGGACAGTTGAACATGAAAATGGGCTCTGCTGATCTAAGCCCACTATAGTATGATCGGAAGATTGTATCGGATTGGTCGAAGAACAGAAGCTGAGGACTGAAAGAGCATAGATCATCTTGTGTTTGTAAAGCTGGATCTACCAGGTGAATTGTCTTACTATTATAGTTGATGGCTTGCACATACAGCTTCTTGGAGAGGATCGACATAACCGTTTGGTTATCTTCACAACTAAATTCAAATTTCGGATCATCTCCACAAATTTCTGGGTCACTGTTTAAGTGAAAAGGGTAGCTGATGTCTCGGATATGACCACAAGCAGAAGGGGTCTTCGGATAACAGTAATCGGGCTTCATCTTCCAAGCATTGCATGTTTGCAGAAAGATGAGGATTAATGTTGAATATTTTAGCAGAGAGGTATCCTTAGACATTTCTGTACTACAACAGCTGAGACCTCACAATTATTTTATTATTAGGTATAAGAGTATATGCAATTAAACCATCTACCTACTTGAGGCGGTTTCATTACCAATATTACTCCTTTGGGTCCCCAAGCCAACTTGATGAAAGGGCCCTCAAGAGGAAGACGTTGACGTTTAGCACTTAAAAGGAAATGAGATTTATTGTAAGGTCCTATGATAACGCGGATAATACTTTTCTCAGGAACGCGCAAAAAACTTAAAAGACCTTGAGAATACTTTTCAGTTTCAGTCATTGGCGTTTACCGATCTAATGAGCTATTAGTCATCGCTTGGGGTCAATAATTTTCTTCTCCCTGTAATTTCCATCTAGCATATAAGGTAGCATTCTGTGTTCCTAACCAAATAATGCCCGAATGTAGTAGACATAGATTAATGGTATGCTAACTTGTGTTCAGACAAATAATGTAACTTGCTAATGGGATAAGAGCTTGCCTATGAATAACTCAGAAAGCTTCTCAAAGCTCCATCGTCAGATTTAGTCCAAATTTTAGTCGAGTAACTTTTAGATGTGTACTTATACTAAGTTTGCATCCACTATCACTAACTAATAGCATGTACATTAACACTCTACATCCATCCTCATAAAATCCTAAATCCGCCTGTATAAAAACTGACGTTTATTTCATTATATATGATAGTATTGGGAAAAGCCTTGAGAAAACAACTGACATTTCTTTTGGTTTCAATGTAAGGATCTAATGCATACAAATCGAGAAATAAGACTAAATGTGTATCATTCAGCTTCCTTATTACTATGAAACAAAATACTTTTGCAATTCTTACACTAATTCCTTTTCATTATACAAATGACTTTGAAGTGTTATTTAATTTCTAATATCACGTCTAGATCTTCACCGTGAGGACTTGCATTTAACTTAGGCTTATCAGTAGCCATAAAAGGATTTGGGGACAAGTTAAGATGGCTCCCATCTCCTTCCAGCATCTGAGTAACTTCTTTTATTGAAGGCCTATCAACGGGATGCCACTGTATGCACCAAAGTCCAACAATAGCTATTTTTCTCACAATTGTAGCATCTCCTTCTTCCTCTATCCGAATCTTCGATTCTTCCCCTTTCTCCAAATGTCTATATATCCATTCCAAAGAATTCACTTTGCAATGGTTATTCGTCTTAGCATCCATATTTATCCTCCCACCAACCATTTCTAACAAGAGCATCCCAAAGCTATAAATATCAGACTTATGAGAAACTTTACAAAAGTTTCTTGACAACACTTCTGGTGCAATGTAACCAATGGTACCCCTAGCAGCTGTCATAGTGATCGCACTTTTTTCTTTAGAACACAGTTTGGCTAAGCCAAAATCACATATTTTGGGGTTCAAGTTGTGGTCTAAAAGGATGTTTTGTGGTTTGATATCGAAATGCAGGATTTGCTGATCGCATCCCTGGTGAAGATACTCAATCCCTCTTGCAGTACCCAGAGCAATATGTTGAAGCTTGTTCCAGCTGATGACTGAGACACTACCCGTACTTGAGCTCACTGGTAAAATAAACCTTTCAAGTGAATCATTTGGTAGGTATTCGTAGATCAGAGCTCGTCTGAATCCGTCAGCACAAAAACCAAGTAAGAGGACCACGTTAACATGGTGGATTCTCCCAATTGTGCCGATTTCATTGATATATTCTTCCCCTTTACCCTTGGAATCGCGTAGGACTTTTACTGCAACATAGATTTCACTGGAAAGTCTGCCTTTGTATACAGTTCCGTAACTCCCTTCTCCTAACTTTTCATTAAAATCATCAGTTATCTTCTTAATATCAGCATAAGTATATCGTGTTGGTCTGATGGCCTTGTAGTCTTCCAAAAACTTTTCAAGTCTAACTCGACTCTCTCTTTTATTTCTACTTGTCAAATATAGCGTATAACGTAAGAAGGCAATAATGCAAACAAGCGCTGTACCTAAAACTACACCTACAAAAATTGAATTGAATAAATAACATGTCATAAGCATAAAGGAAAATCAAGTAGGAAACTGATGGAGTGAGAACTTAATCATACTAACCTGCAACCAAGGACATCTTAGATTTCATATCTATTATGGACAAAATGAAAGTGTATATATGTTAAGTGCTTCTTTAATAATGAGGGAAAAAATTAATGAAGACATACAAGTAGTACCTGTTGGGGTTATAGCTGTTCGATTGAAACAATTGAGTTTCCAATTGTTTTATTTCATCCTTGAAGCCACAATCCATTCCTTTGAACTCACAGCTCCTACAGAGTGGTATAGACCAATTCAGCTGCAGTTTGTTCTCCCTAAATGTGTACCATGCGTAAGGGTAGTGATGAATTTTTGTGCAAGGCTCAGACAAGAAGAGGTTGAGGTGATCAAACTCATAAACAGCATAAACTTTGTAAGCAGAAGAACTAAGACAAGGAACGAAGTCATGAATAGTATCTGGTAATGGTGCGGAACAATTTAATAGGACCATGGGTAAGTATTCATTTTTCAAATTGAATTGTGAAAAATTCAGTTTTGGTAGCTTGGCTGGTAAGCACTGGTCAGGATCATAAAGGTGAATTTTCTGTGAGACATAATCAATCTTTTCAACACCAAAGTGAACAGAGGAGGGAAGCTCAAGGATGGTGTCACCTTTAGTGTTACAGTGTAGTTCAAAGCCAGGATAGCCACAATGTTTTGGCTGATGACTGAGTCTGAACGGAAAATGAACGATGGGACCATGACTCTTGCACCAAGAATCCTCACAGCCCTCTAGTCTCTGTCCTAAGCTAAGCGATGGGATAAATAGCAAGAAAAGTAAGATGGACATTTCTAAAAGTACTCTTACTTGCATTCTTTGCTTTGATGCTAATATACCGTACTAGTTCTCGAATACGTCCGTTGCACGTATATTTCACGTTAAGTAATTTTTTTAAGAAAATAATATGAGTTGTATAGATTTGAAAGGGTAGATTACTTTTTGTCTGATTTAAACTTTTGAGTCATTTCTTTTTTGAATTCAACATACATAATTAGTAAAATATATGTATATTGAATGTAACATGACAAACTATTAAAATCAATGTTTTTCATGCATTGCACCACCATATTAAACTAATAATTTCAAATTTTTGATTAAACCTCTAAAGTATATAATCTCATATATAACATTTTTTTTTCTATAGTAATACATGCACTTACATATATTAAAGTGTAAGATAAATTAAAGAATAACAAAATAAAGACACAACAATTTTAACTAATTAATCAACATCACCTGATAGGTAAACTACCACGAAATAGTTATTTGACATTGTTGCCTCAAATATGCAATCGGCTATAAGAATCTCAAGTTTTCAATCGTATGATATAATTTGAATAGTAATACACTTATCTAAATTACTTTGCAAATCAATTGGAATTGCATCCTATGTTTTTTTTTAAAAAAATGTTATGTATATTTATATAAAACTTAATAGAGTACATGAAAAGTTTTCTAACGGATGAAAATTAAAAGAAATAAAAAATTTAAAATTAATGGGATAAATGCATATATAATTATATAGTAAAAGATAAATTATACTAAGGGCTTGATAGATTCATGAACTTCACATTAATGTTTCATAATTTCCGGAAGTTGAAACGAAATTAAAATATTGAATAGAGGACAATTTTAGGAAGATGAAAAAGCTAGCAATTCCAAAACATTGAATATAGATTCCAAAACATTGAATACGGACTGTTGTAATTTGAGTGATAAATTAAAATATTACTCCTATTTAATTAGATTGTGTAACAATTTAAATAATACTACTAATTAGATTAGTTATTTTTGTTTATTAAATATTTTTATTAAGTAAAAGGCAAAAAAGTAATTCAACTTTGATAATCAAAATTCATTGAATCCCGAAATAAATATTAAACGAAAAAAATAATATTTTAAATAATTTCAAGAAAATAAATTAAGATATTTTAATTAAAAATTATTCTAAAGGGTGGAAAAGTCATTAACATTTTGATTAAAATAATATAATTTAATATTTAAATTAAATAGTTAAATATCTTTATAACATTTAAATTTATAATAAGGATAAAATCGTATTTCAACTTTTAACTTTTTTGGTTTCCTCTTATAATAATATATGATTGGCAACATTTTCCAACTCTCAAGACTGACTTTTCTTCAAAACTGTTCGATTTGTGGAGCACACTTTTCCACATACATTGCTGTTTGGGGTGGCAAAATGTGTCTACATAATCCAGTCTAAAATAGAGGGCAGTTGGAGTTAATAGATATTTATTTATTACACTAATATCTCCAGTTGGGTCAGTGCATATTTAATTTTATGATATTTATTAATTTTAAAATCTAATGGTCCATACTTATTTAAATAAAGCATTCTTTAAACTACAGTGAAATATCATTAACCATGGTAATTACACACTATTTCTCTTTCTCTCTCGTCTCTCTGTCTCTTCCTTTCCCACTTAATTTTGCAACAAATTCTTTTTGTCAATCATCAAAGAATTTGCTTGGTTAACAATAAATCATTTTTTCTTTTCATTATTTTTACACAGTATTAAAAGAAAACAAAATTCAAAGGATGAACTTGGGTCATAAAATTTAAAAAATCTAACCCATCATGAGATTATTTCTTTGAAGCTTGATTAGATCATAATGGTGATTCACAAAACTCTGTCATGTCGTCTTCTTCGTAACATCAATATTTTCGATTAAGAGTTTATGAAAAATTCAACTAAAGGATTTGGAAATGGCACAAGAAATGGGTAGGAAAATGTTTTTTAATAAATTTTTCTTTTGAAATTTCAATTAAACTTTGTGAGACAGACATAAATTGAAAAATTATTCATGATTAAAAATAAAATGAATTTAATGTTTCAAATATCAACACTAAAAATAAAATTCAGAAATCTTTTATTGATTTGCTGCAAAAACAAGAATTTGAAAAAATAAACTAAAACAGAAAAAAAGGATTCTAAGCACAAAAAGAAGTGAGAAATGTTAACTATGATAAAATTCTTAGTTAATCAAGCAAATCGGAGTCATAAGATTATTTGTACGACACATGTGAAAATATTAAAGAGATAATTGATGAAGCCAAATCCTAAATTGATTGACAAATCATTTTGGGCATAGTCCAAATCAGCACATGGTATATGTGGACTACATCAGTCTACCTTGTTTGCTAGTAGTAATTTGAAATTATGGGGAGATGAAGAATCAAGATCCAAATAGATAGATTGATAGAGTACAGGAGATAAGAAAGCTCAACCTTTAATCAATAGTTAACCTCTTTGATATGTCTATGGGAACCTCTCTTCTAAAATGTATAACAATAATCTTGATCATCTCTGAAACATGCTATGCTAGGAATAGCGAATTTCACTACTATGTCCGTTCTGCTTGTGGAAATATCCCTGACATAAGTTACCCTTTTCGTTTAAAGATCGACTCAAAATATAGTTACCTTTTCAGCTCAAATACCGGTTCAAAGCTATTTACAGAATATGAATTAGCTTGTGAAGGTAACCAAACGGTTGTATGGTTATTCTCCAAGAAGTTGCACGTTCAAGCCATCAATTATGTTAATCACACAACTCCTGTTGTAGATCCAACTTTACAAAAACAAGATTTATGCTCTCTATTACCTCAGCCTTCAACAATACATGAATAGTTCGCGTTTTCATCCATATTATAATTACACTAGTAATGGATCACAGAGTAATAGCAGAGCCTATCTTCATATTCAACTGTCCGTTTGCTGTTAACAATTCAACATTAGTGGCTGCAAATTAAGCTGGTACACTTATTTAAAGATTGGAGAAATGAGTGTATCTGAAGTCACCGATGGATGTGCAGAGTGGAATTTATAGCCATGACCTCTTGGCCTAATATTAAAAATGGCAACAATATTTCCCTTTATGATCTTCATCAAGCATTCATCGAAGGGTTTGAGCTAACTTATCATCTGAAACTGGAAATCATAGAAACGATTCATTCAAGTAAGGATGACATGTCTGTTTACTTATTCAATTAATATTCGTTAGCAAAACAAAGAATTCACTACTACTAAAATTTTATGACTTCAATCTAACCGGGGAACAGAAGGCCGCTACTCTTGTATCTCGGAAGTAAGCTAAGCTCTTATCCCTTCAACAAGAGAGATTACAATTATTTTTACACAGAAGATTTATGATGTTACTCTTCCGACTATACAATCTTCACCAAATAAGTGAAAATGTTAAAATTTGATATCTTTTTTATTAATAACGCAAATCATATTGTTATATATAATAATATAGTTTGGGATCTACAATATTTGGTGCCTAAGGCAAGGACTTCACTTGCCTTAGCTTAGAGCCTGGTCCTGCTCATCCTAGAAGCTAGCTAGCTAGCTCATGAGATGAGGAATATCCAAGACACGACACACAACTCTTCTCTCAACTGACGTGGGACACTTAACAATGTAATTGTCAAGAAAAATTAGATTTTCCTGATCATCATTCATCACTATGAATCGTAGGCTTAAGAGCAAGTTACTTTTATATGACTTCTCAACCGTGCAGTGTATTGGGAGCAAAATGTGTGATTGGCCTACCGTTCATAATTGAATTTCTGGTGTACATCAGCACCAGTCAAGAAGGAAGTCCTCTGTTAAGTTGGCAGAGGAAGTATGACATTGTTGTTGGAGTGGCTCGAGGAATTGGATATTTGCATCGAGGCTGTGATGTACGAATTTTGCATTTTGACATCAAGCCACACAACATTCTTTTGGATGAGAATTTCATTCCAAAGATTTCTGATTTTGGGCTTGCAAAATTATATCCAACAGATATAAGCATTGTGAATCTCACAGCTGCTCGTGGAACAATTGGCTATGTAGCTCCAGAGTTGATCAGCAGAAGCATTGGAGTAATCTCTTACAAAGCTGATGTTTACAGCTTTGGAATGCTGCTAATGGAAATGCTGGACTTGAAGAGACATGAAGGTGCAAATGAAGAGAATTCCAGCCAATATTTTCCTTATTATATTTACGATAAGTTCAACAAGGGGAAGGAAATTGTTGTGGATGAAGAAGCAAATGATGATGAAAAGAAGATGGCTAGAAAGTTGACTTTAGTTACATTTATGGTGCATACAAACAAATCCGATACAACACCCTTCGATGAGTAAAGTTTACAAATGCTGGAAGGTGAAATTGAAGTGCTAGAAGCACCTCCTCAGCCTCTTCAATCTCCACTATTGTTTATCAGATGATGGGAAGTTCTATGACATTTTCGTCTGATTCCATGGCTTTGTTAGATAATTCTGCTAATAATACCGTATCAAATTAGACATATGTTATGAGTGATTCATAACTAATTTTATGTTTCTCATGAAGTTTGTTGCAACTATAGTCCCTATGGGTATTTCATATCAAGAAAAAAGGTGGTGTTGTATTGCAATAAAATAAAGAGATTTAGATGTAAATCATTACAAATATTATGATAGGACTTAGGAGGCAAAGCACAAAATCATGCATGTTTTAGGCATAAACATGTTGGACCTAAACTTGACTTTAAATTTTAATTTTGACCTCCAATTTTTATATTGCACAAACATATACTTTAACTATTCAATTTTTTAAATAAATAAACACATGAGTCCTACATTGAACAATACACGTAATACACCACATATGACAAAAAAATGACACGTAGGATGACATATGTGTCTCTTTGTTCAACTTTATACAAATTTAAGTGTCTATTTGTGCAAATCCAAAATTAAATAGCATAAATATAATTCGAAATCAAGTTAAAGAGCATATTTATGTATTATACCCATGTTTTAAGTGCAAAGAACTCTATTGTTACTTTGATATGACCAAAA